CATACATACATACATACATACATACATACATACATACATACATAAGTCCTACGTATTCGTTTTCCCCTTTATTTACTGAACAATGAGGATTCTACACATTCTGGTGTTTATATGATATAAATATGAATATGAATATGTATAAACAAAGAAGTAATTGCGACATTTGTCAAATTTTCGAGTCAATCCGCCCCATTACTAAGACAGGAACATAAAGAATTGCATATCTCAACATCTAACACAGAGATGAACAGTCATCACGAAAACAAAACTACATCTCAAGAAACGTAACAAAAATACAGTATTGAAATACCACGAAAAAAAAACATCCTAGGCCGGCAGGTAACATCCATCTTAAAATCTTCAGATTTGTCGCGCAAGTAAAAATTAGATTTAACAACAAAATGCAACAATGCTCCGTGAAAATGACTAAATGTCAGTCGAATAACCTCGTGATAACGGCTCCTGCATACTTGAATTTATCTAATTAGATGTATAATTATTTTATAAATGGTTAATAGCATTGATTTTGTCGTTCATATTATTCCGTTCACGGACAATATCATTACATTTTGCACTGTTGTAACTCAATAATTGTCCCACAGCACGCACATGTACATTTTAAAACGCACGTTTAAATGTCAACGATAAGCTAAAAACGTCATCTTCTGAGAAAGAAAAGCAGCGATTTTTACAAATATTTCTTTTGACACATCTGGATAACGTTTCAACCATCGTCTGGGTTAAAGCGTAAAATCCTAAACCCCTCCCCCTCAACCCTCCCCTTGAATAATAGTTATTACTTCTCGAGACTGTTACGCAGACATGTTTTGCCATAATGCTGTTTTTTAGTTGTTATCACATGTTCGTTATAAATACAAGTGAAATAAATAGTTCGTATTGAACGGGAAAACCATGAAATTTTCTATTTCTAACATTTGTTCACGTCACGCCACGCAAATATTCCTACACCAGAAAAGCGCTGGAATGTAAAGCGTATTTTTTGACGCCTAGTTCGCCAAGAGCGCCATTTTGAATGGGTTTTTACTGCAATTTTGCTCTTTGCTGCTATTATCTGATACGATTTCCAGACAAAAATGATATTAATAAAGTAGTTATGTAAATGCAATAATGTATGCTGCATAAGTGGAACACACAACCACTTATTCTACT